CATTTCAGCTGTCCCCAGGTCAAAAGCTTCCATAGGAAACTTTTTCTTCCCCATAAGCTCAAAGAAGAGCTTTTTTACTACCCGTAAAGCCCAAAGAAAGATTTTTCCCCCAGTTTGCTTTCATAGCCCCCAAAGTTAGAAAATTGAAGAGTTTTTCTGTCTAGTTGCCTTATTTTTTCCTACACGATCTTACACTTATAAGTTTTTCCTACACTATATTACTACCCTATACCTTATATTTTTCACAGGGAGAAATTGAGAAAGGGATAGAAGATAGAAAATTTTGACAGAAGAGAATTTTGCGCTGCAGCTTCGGAATCCTTTCAGTCCGCTTTCCTTTTCTCTCGAGGATAAAACCCTTGCCTCTCAATATATATATATTTCCCCCCCATAACACCAGCATGCCTTTCCACTGGCAGGGCTGACTCAGTACTTTCACCAAAAACTCTGTAATAAAACTATTATTTTCCTTTATCTTTAGTCCCTATTACTTTGTCTTTAGTCCCTGTTCATTTGTCTTTAGTCCCCCCTTTTTTTCTTTAGCCCCCCCCCCTTTTTTTCTTTTTTCTTTAATCCCTGTTCATGGCGCCATTCTGTGGGGAGTTTACCCACCAACCCCACAGCTCCCCAGAGTTTTCTTGAGTGCGAGCAGCAGGAAATATTAGATAGAAGGATTTATTGCAGAGAATATTGTGGAGATAAACAGATAGAAAATAAAGGATAGCCTCAAGAGGGCCTGGAACCTTTTCCAATGGGCCCTGACTGTCTCTGCCCCAGGGTTTTTATAGAGACGCCAAGGGGTGGAGCAAAAGACCTCCTCCCCCAGCACAGCCAAGTGCAGACCATCTCAGACACCTGCACTCAGGCCCGTGATCCTAATCATCCTCTATGTGGACCTGCTGGGTAAAGCCACAAGGAACCCGAGAATGGGCTCCCACACTGAACCAGGTTTCTCTTTGCATTTTGTTTTAGGATCAAATTACCCCTCACAGTGGATGAGATCACCAGCTTTGGAGAGGGTAACAGGGAGCTGTTTGTGAGATCCAGTACCTACAGCCTGATCCCCATCACTGTAGCAGAGCCTGGCCTCACTATCAGCTGGGTATTCTCTTCTGACCCCAAGAGCATCTCCTTCAGTGTGGTCTTCCAAGAGACAGAAGACACACCGCTTGACCAGTGCAAGGTAGGCCAGGCTCCCTACCAGGGTCCTTAACACACACTCCAGGTGCCTGAGCAGACCTTCCCCAGAGCAGGCAAAGCACCTAAGACTTGATTTGCTTGGGTAAACAAGACCCAGAAGTGAAGTTCAAGAGAACTGTCTTCACATGGCTGAAGGTTACTTCTGTGCTTCACATGTCCCATTTGATCATGGGATAGAGCTGTAGGTAAATCTCAGAGACATGTAAGAGATAAGATTATCACAGAGGGGAAAAAAAAATGAGAGAGAAAGGTGTCCTTCCTGGGTTTAATAACCACCATTGTCTTTTCCCACAATGAACACAGAGGGGCAAAAAAAAAAAAAAAAAAAAAAAAAAAAAAAAAAACCCTGTCTAGGATACTTAGCTGTTCTTCTGCCCTTCCAGGCCCAGGTCACCAGTCAGCTATAAAGGATGCTATTTTCTCTGCCTGTGGTTCCCTGAAAAGTCATGAACCTAAATAGCCTATTTCTAGGTCTACATCTTTAGTACCTAGTCACGGGACTTCTCACATGCTCTTGACTAGCCTGTGCCTTTCAGAAAACAGATGGCCATATATAGGTCTCATAACAACACATAGGAACCTTGCTGGATCCTTGGACAACTAATAGTTGAGCCCTTGCTATGTCCCGCATTCTGTAGAGTCTACTAGGGACAAAGAGATACAGGATGACACCCAAATCTGTTCTTGAAGCATTGTAAGGATAAACAGAGAGAGACCTGAAAAAATAAACACCTATGATTCCAGCTAGAAGTCACAGTGTGGGTAGGTAGGCATTATAGGTACAACTGGAAAGGGACCCCTGTGTCTACAGTGAAGGCCACACTGAGTGAGACTGTCTCATTGCAGAGTAAAAGGGGTGAATAAAAATAGTCACTTCTGATGTCATTTGCTAAAATTAGGAGCTTAAAGTGGTAGAGCTGATGGTCTATATAACACTTTATGTGTAGGCTTTGCTAAGTGAACAGTGTAGGGCACTGAGGGAGACACCCTCTAAGATGGAAGAAAGAAGGAAGGAAACAAACTAGAATACTGGTCATCTGTTCCTGTCACATCTTCAGTTTTGTTTTGTTTCACTTTATTATTGAGGGGGAGGGGGAATGCATTCATAGCTTGTACATGGAGATCAGAAGAAACCTTTATAGAGTCAGTTCCCTCCTTTCACCTTTTTACATGGTTTCCAAGTTTCAGACTTGCAAGTCAAGCTCTTTTACCTACCAAGCCATTTTGCTAGCCCATATAACTTCAGTTTTAAGTTTAGCCCTGTGCTTTAGCTGATAATCAGGTAGAAGACTTTGCCTCTATGGGGGTGATGTTGACCATCCAAGGACTAGGCCTGGTCCATACACTGTATGCCCAGATTTGCCCTTAGGGGATAAATTTGTGATTTTTGAGAGAATACACAGAAGGCTAAGAATTAGGCTTGGAAAGATAAAAATCACATGGACCAGCCAAGACCCATCCAAGAGAAGGGCCTGTGGTGATGCCATGTGAGAGATCATGGGTGGATTCGGGGCTGTCTTTCCTGGAGGAGGGTGGGCCCAGGAGGTTTATAGAGAGCCTGAATGTCATCATCTGGAAAGAGGACCCAGTGTTCTAAGGACAGCACTAGGTCCTACACAAGGCAACTGGTCAAATGGACATTTAGAATGTCTTCCTAAAAGCATGAAAGTTCAACTTCTCCAAATGTTGGAATAGCTTGGCACTAGTGTGGTCAGGGATGCTGGGGACTGGTTCATGATTCTGGAAGAAACACATACCCACTATCTCCCCACAGTAAGTGGGATAGGTGACACCCCATCCTTGCTGGGGCCAAGTTTTAGTCCCAGCCCTCTACAGCTGTGACCTCATTCAGCTTGCGTAGAGGACTCACAGGCCCTCAGCTTTTCTGATACCTTCTTATTGCTCTCCCTGCCAGGTCCTCATTCCCACCACCCGGTGCAATTCCCACAAGGAGAGTATCCGGGGCCAGCTAAAGGTCCGAACCCCTGGCATCTACTTGCTTATCTTTGACAACACCTTTTCCAGGTAGGTACCTCAGTCATGGCATCTCATGGGTCCACCTGTCTCTATGCATCATTGCTCCTGTTCTCTAGCACTGAGGCAGACACTCAATATCAAGACTTAGTTGTCAAAGTTTTTTGTTAGTGATTCTATAATTTAGACTCCTGCTGTTTTCACCGCTCATGGTAGGTTTTATAAAGCAGGTCTGTCAGTTACTTTCCTGTTTCAGGATAAAACACCATGATTAAAGGCAACTAAAGAAAGAAGGTGTTTAACTGGACTTTTAGTTTCAGAGGGAGAGTCCATAATGGCAGCAGGCAGCCAGAACAGGAAGTTGACAGATCACATCTTTATTCACATGAAGGAAACAAAGAGAGCAAACTGGAAGTAGCAAGGCTACACATTCTCAAAACTCACCCCACTGACATACTTCTTTCAGCAAAGCCTCACTTCCTGAAAGTTCCACAACCTCCCTAAACAGCACCACCAACCAGGGACCAAGTATTCAAATATGTGAGCCTATTAGGGGCATTTCTCATTCAAACTACAGCCATAGGCCAACACTTACAGGTTCTTACCATATACTAACCACTCAACTATTGCCATACAACTTCCTCCTTTTCTACGGGGCCAAGGACTGGTGTATGGAATAGTGACTGACACTCCAGGTCATATGGCCAACTGGGGGGGGGGGTTTGCAGACCTGAACCAGGCACCTGGCTCTAGGCTCTGCTCACCTCTTTCAGGTTAGTTCCCACTGCCAAGCCATAAAAGGACCCTAATAAATCCAGAGGAAAGGCTAAGAGTGCATGAGTGAAAAAGAAAAAAAAATGAGACAGAAAAAAGACAAAACCTCTAGGCCGTGTGTCGTTGGATGAAGCATGATCTTATCAATAAAAACTAGGAGTCAGATATGGGGTAAATGCTGAAAGAGCAGAGCAGAGCAGCAGCCACTAGAGACTTCTTACCTCTATGAATCCTCTGACCAAAAAGGGGGTGAGAGCCTGTCTCTACCCACCTTATATTCCTATCTCCACCTCCCAAGTGCTGGAATTAAAGACGTGAGCCTCCCAAGTACTTGGATCAAAAGCATGAGCCTCCTAAATGCTGGAATCAAAGGCATGAGCCTCCCAGGTGCTGGGATCAAAGGAGTGAGCCTCTACCACCTGGCCTCTATGGTTAACTAGTAGCTAGCTCCACCCTCTGATCTCCAGACCAGCTTTATTTGTCAGAACACAAACAAAATATCACATAATAGCTGGGTTTTTTTTTTTTTTTTTATTCTTTGGGGGCCTGCTATCCAGCACCCAAATAAATACATGGAGACTTATTCTTACTTAAGAATGCCCAGCCTTAGCTTGGCTTATTTCTAGCCAGCTTTTCTAACTTTAATTATCCTGTTTCTCTTTTAGTACATTTTGCCTCTGGCTTTTTACCTTTCTTTATTCTATATAACTTTCTTTCCTTCTTACTCTGTGCTTGCTGTGTGGCTGGGTGGCTGCCCCTGGCATTGTCCTCTCTTCCTTTTTTCACTCCTCCCTTTTCTGTTCTCCTTCTGTTTATTTTCTCTGTATGCCAGCTCCACCTGTTTCTCGCTCCTGACTAGCTGTTGGCCATTCAGCTCTTTATTAGACCAATCAGGTGTTTTAGGCAAGCAAAGTAACACAGCTTTACAGAGTTAAACAAATGCAACATAAAAGAATGAAACACATCTTTGCATCATTAAGCAAATATTCCACAAACATAAGCAAATGTAACACATCTTAAACTAATATTTCACAACAGCCATGTTGTATGTCACAGGAGCAACCTTTGCCATCTTGAGCTCCTCAGTTACTTCAGGCAGTACTGAGGGTCAGCTGAAGGCTCAAGGGGGTCTGATCTCAGGAGTAGTCAGCATGAGAATATAAAAAGGAATGGTAAGCAGATGGCTAGAAAAGGGAACAGGACAGAGCAGCCATACGGACAGCATCTGTCATGTGCACAAGTCGAGACATCTGTCCCTAGGAATGGCTTCTGGTTTCCAGATAGCTTCTTCACAGAGGCTTGTAACTGAAAGTTTTCCTTTGCCTGCCCAGTTCCTGCGCCTCACGGTCCCGCAGCTGCTCAGACCCAAATGAACACACAGAGGCTTATATTAATTACAAACTGTATGGCCTCCTGGCTCAGGCTTCTCGATAACTAGATCTTACATCTTAAATTAACCCATTTCTATAAATCCATGTGGCTCATGGCTTACCGGTATCTTTACATCTTGCTTCTCATGGTAGCAGTTGGCAGTGTCCTCTGTTCTGCCTTTCTCCTTCCTCCTCTCTAGTTAGAATGTCCTGCCTAACCCTATTTTGCCTCACCATTGGCCAAACAGTGTTTTATTAAACCAGTGTACAAAAGCATTATCCCATAGCACCTTTCTTGAAATAGACCTGTCTAGGCTGTGACTACCTTCTCCCTCATAGTCATTTGGCTTTTAATAGAGTGACTTGATAGGATACTCTAGGCAAAGGTATTCCCATATTCTACCCCAGCTCCTCAGGTCCTGAGCTCTCAGGCCCGTGGACAGGGTTGTATACAACCCAAGAGACTGGAAGTAATCTTCCCACTTGTTCTGTGTTGCCCTGGGTAATAGAACTGTGCCTAAATCTGTAGGACTTTAGAGTATGCTCAGCCTTTCCAGGAAGCTGTCTGTGGAGTCTTCATCCGGGTGAGCAGCACTAGCAGTAGGGGACAGGGTTAGGAGAGGGTCAGTGCCTATGTAGCCAAGCCCTGTTCTTCCTGATGCAGCCCTAGTTAACCATTTCTTTTTCTGTAATGACCCTAAGAACTATCAGTGCATCACTGAGCCTGGCTGTGGGTCCAGAGAGAGGTGTGACAAGGGCCTCATGAAGTCTCTAGCAGGCTCCTGGAAAACCTGGAGTAGTATAAAGCTCTGGAGAATGATCTCTGTCTATGGCATATGGAAATCAGAACTGATACAAACATCCAGTGGGTTTGACATACATTTTGGCTTTTGCTATGACCTCCTATGGCACCCAGTCCATCTTCCCATGCTGTTCTGACCACTGTCACCTCAGAGCAGCTAGGGAGAACAAAGACTTATAGCCCCACACTTCACTCAAGCCCTAGGAAGCCCATAGTGACAGTACTTGGACCTCCTGAAGGGAGAGAACTTTGCTAGACTAGACAGGCAGAAAATGGGGATAGGGAACCAAGGAACACTAAAACGGTCCAGGAGTTGCCCAGTTCCCAAAAGCTGTTTCTCTGGAGACTTTGGCTTCTACACCCTGCCAAGCCCAATTAGTGACATGAGGCCACAGTAGCAGCTTCCACCCTTGGTCTTCACTAAAGGTAACACCTTCATTTTCCATTTTTGTTTCTTCAGATTTATCTCCAAAAAAGTATTTTACCACCTGACTGTTGACCGGCCTGTGATCTACGATGGAAGCGATTTCCCATAACATCAGTACCTGAACTTTGATATCTCTTCAACATCCACAGAAAACACTACTACTCCTCACCCATCTCATCAAACATACATATTCACACACACACACAAAATTTTAAAAATTAAAAAATTAGAAACAAAGGAAAGAAAATCAGCTGTACCCCAGCTCACCAGCTCTGGCAGAGGCCTTGGGCTGCACCTCAGAAACCGCTCTGCCAAGGTTCACAGGGTACTTAGTTCCATGCAGCCATCACTCTCTGTTCCCAGGGCACCCGAGGACCAGATATGAGACTCAGCTATCTTCTCACCCAAAGGGACATCTTGCCAAATGTTTATACTCTGGGATACCATTGGCCTCACTTGGGATCACAGTTGGTAACAATCTGCTGTGGTATTTTTCAGGCCAAGATTCACTTTGTGAATCATTTGGTAGTCCCAGGAGAGAAGAAGGCCATAGGTCCATCATGTGAGAGATGCCCCTTTCCCTTAATTTATCCATAAGTAGAGGCTGCTTCCCCCACTCAGCAATTTTGGGGAGGCCTGAGCTGTGCTGTCTTTCTGAGCCTTTGTCTGTTCTGGGCCTTTGCTCAGCCTGGCCACTCAGCAGCTCTAAATTCATTCTCTCTCTCTCTCTCTCTCTCTCTCTCTCTCTCTCTCTCTCTCTCTCTCTCTCTC